TGAGGACCTAATGCCGGGGCTTAAGTGGAGGGGAAATGTTTTGAGAATGATGAGGACAATGAATGTACAAATGTGCTTTACACAGTTGATGTATGTATGGATGGTGATAAGAGTTGTACGAGCCCCCAATAAAACGATTTTTAAAAAAAGCTCATGTGTCTATCTACAGTCCAACTAACTGTTGGTCTCTCCTCATCTGGAGAACAGAGTTCAGAAAATGGAAGACAAATGACAACAATTAGCTCAATGGACTAACAGACCAGGTAAGTATCAGTCTCCGTGACCCTGAGATGAGAACTAGCCAATGCCTTACTACCACTACCAACTGCTCTGAAAGAGATCCCATGGAAAGTCGCCATTTAACTGAGAGATAAGTGTGGAACCAAACTCAAAATTACAAAAGAAGACAAATAGCAGTCGGAGGGACCTCTGAGACTAGAGCCCTTAGTGGCCCATCAGGTCTGATGACACATTCATCTCCAGAACTCTATTTCCGCTCCAACAGACACAGCTGTGAGGGGAACACTAACACTAGGGAGGCATCAGGCCCCTGAGCTTGTTAAAGAGCAGCATCTCCTCACGGACAGGAGTCAGGAAAGTTGGGTGAGAAGGAGGAACGGACAGGGGAAGCTTGGGGGGAGGGGACGCAGGGAGGTTTACAGTGCGAGCATTGCAAGTCCTGGCGTGCAAGAAAACGTGCATGGATTGTGGAATGAAAAACCAATTTGCTCTGTAAACCTTCGCCCAATTCACATATTTTTAAAAATTAAAGATCTGAATGATAACCAATTCCATTGATCTAGAAATCACAAATACTAAAATGTTATATTTTGTCACTTAGTTTTACAGTTCAGAACTACTGATACTGAAAAACTACCTAAGGTAGCCCTTTTCCAAAGCACAGAAGAGGCATTTGAATGCGTTGCTCATGGTCCCAGCACTACTTGATCCAACCCACATTGAAGTGTGGATTGTATTTGATCTGTTTTCTCAGACTGTTGGTCCTTCAGTGCTGGGGAAACCTTTTAGTACCATGGCATTTGTGACGATTTGCCTCATTTTTAAATATCTTACAAACAGAGGTGCTCTGATACCTGATTTTCAATCAGTTTATATGTACAGGAAATCTTTCTCAGCTCCACTTATTGAGAAATTCAGCGAGTAAAAATGATATTAATTAAGAGGTACACAGGTGACTACAAAATGTTTGTGGGGAAATGGAATTAAAAGATAATGAAACTTTTTTATTCTACAAGCTTTCTGAAGGCCCAGGGTACTTAACCAAAAATGGCACTAGTCTATTTTCCTAACTTTTTTAGCTTATCCCTTTTAAAAATTGCATTTGTGTTAATGTTATAAACTTTAAAAGATTGAAGAGGTGGGAGCAACCTTGAGACAAATCAGTAAATATTTTTTAAATGTGTGCAAATTAAATGATTATCTTGACTCATCAAGGACCGTATAGGCAGAAACATATCACTTCATCTTTCAATCCTAAGACAGCCAGACAACGGCTTGGCAGAGAGATTCTTACAATGGCTCCCTTGACCCCACCTTTGTGTGATCTCATTTCTTTGGCTGTGAATAGGGCCTAGGCTTTCTTATTATTAATGCTGTGGTGGTGGAGGTGGTGGTGG